TTGAAAATATCTGGTATCATATTTGCTATAAATTTTGGCATTAAAAAAAAAAAAAAAAACGAAAATAATTATATAATTTAAATCAAACTTTTTTTCTTCCATAAGGGATCAGAGAGATACATAAATAATGTTAAAAAGAAAAAAAGAAAGAAAAAAAAAGTTGCCTCTTCTGGGTTTTGAACCCACGCCCCTCAATTTCAATGTAGTTTACAAGCGATTCTAGCCTATTTGAATACTCTTCAAAGTAGAGGTAATGCATTACCCATGGTCTACCTTGATTCAATGTTTATGCCTAACTTAAGGCAATTATCGCCACTGGCTCAAATTGGGACAGAAACGTTTGAATTTTTCATGTCATGTCCGGAAATTAATGAACTTTGGTGATGCTATTTATGTTAATTCAGAAGTTCTATTCATTTGCCCGCTCATCTCATTTCTAAAATTGTGTCAAAGAAAGGTCTTTCTCAACAATTATAGCAAGATATTTGGCATATGGCTTTTAAAGTATTGACTTAACTTTATAATAATGGTCCCTCAAAACAAATAAACAGGATCAATATCACAGAAACGGAATACTTAGAGAGAATCCACTTTGGCATTCTTTTGGCATTAAAAAATTAGTTAGTTTGCAACAATATCTAATGACAATTAATGCCTAAGGACGTAATAATCAGGAACATTTATCTACATCGGCATTAAACTATAGCCAGCAGCAAACCATAGTTATGTTGAAATAATGATCGGTAATATTGAATGGCAAAAAACAAAGTTGTTTCATTGGCGGTTGCGTAATATTTTTATCATAATCAAGAGAGGTTTATTGTTGTTGTTCCTAATGTAAATAATTTACATAATAACAGTATGCTCTGTTTGTTTGAAATATTACAGATATCGTAATTGATGGTTTGGAATTCAAAACATGCTGTGCGTGTATAGTAAATTTTGAAATTAAACATTCTGTATTTTTGTTAAAATATTTTTAAATGTAAACCATTGCGAATCTAACATAACTCAGCTGCTGCTAACAATAATCAAATCTATAACATCTTTGTATTTGATCGATTTTTAAATTGTAATACAATTTTTTTATGATAATGCAATCTAAAAAAAATAAACTGATAAAATATAGGTTGCATTGAGTGAACGGTGAACAGAAAGAAAACGACCATTAAATATCCTGTATCAGAATTTTTTATTGTTTTATATCATAAATATGATGCTCAAATTAAAATTTATCAATTTTGTAAGTTCCAAAAAGCATTATTTATAAAGATACTATCGAATTTAACATATAATTAATGTAAAAAAGTGAGGTAATAAAAAATATTTTCTATAAAATCTTTAGTTCGTCAAATTTTTAATAAGAAATGAATGCAAATATTTTAATGATTACATATAATATGTACAAATATTTGCAGTACATATTTTTCATATTCTTCGATGTTTGACAATTGTTTTATAACCATAATTATATACATATATATATAATTTCACTTATATGTGTTAAACAAGCTCAATTACGATACAGGATCTTTAAATAACTTACTTTTTATATCTTTAAATAAAAACATTATCGATCTTTATTTATGTAATGTTTTCAGTTAAAAGTTATACTTGTCATTTTCCCATAATCATTAATTTAATTTATCATACATTATCCATGAAATTTCATTCTTCAAATCATCCTGAATATTCTAAAACAGAATATTTAAAGAAATGACAAAGCTTGTTCATAATTCAAATTTCAAAAAGTTTCTGGCGCAATATATACATTACTGTTTTATTTTCTTCTGGTTTTGTTTTTGTAATTAAAGAAAAATATGAGCAGGGACATCGTGTTTTCTTTTTGAAGGTGTTTAATTTTAGTTTAAATTTTTAAAAGCTTTTAAAAGATAAATCATCTAAATGTTATTTTGATAATGTTGATTCTTTAAAAGAAACCCCTCAAAATAAAAGTTTCAAATCAGCGGCTAAAAGAAATAATGCATAAATGTGTCGTTGGCCTTGCATTGAAGTAATATTATTAAAGAAAAATATACTGGGAGAAATTCAATTCAGAAGTACATTGGAATTAAGTTTATCCTTCCTATATCATATGCATTCAGGTGAGGCAGGTGTATGCCATTGTATGCTAATATGCTGAGACCTTTATCATCTAGATCGGATAAACTATTTTTATCTAACTAAAAGCAGTACACTTTGAACAAGGTTTGCGATCCGATAAAGATTAAGTAAACCAAAGTCAGAATTGTAATTAGTTTGACGTGGACACTATTAATAAAACTGTTGGCAAGAAAGAGATATCTTTTCATATCTTTATCATTATTTGTATCATACTGAGCAGGCCCTTGAAATGACGTAGATAGCTTACATGAATTGATTTACACTTCACGAGAATTCATTTTACATTGAAATAATCTTTTCTGTTTATATTAAATATATTTGTTGATATCAAACACACTGCAATTATTTCAAAATTCAAATGCTTTTGTTTAAATAAAAAGAAAACAAAAACGCTACATGGGTGTTATCATTTTACTGTTCAAATATTCTAGCTTAAAAGTTTCTTTTAATTCAATGTTTATTCCTTACTTAAACTTAAGGCAATTATCGCTATTGGCTCAAAATAGGACAGGAACTTTTGATTTTTTTTCATGTCATGTCCGGAAATTAATGAGCTATCTTTCGGAAGTTTGGTGATGCTATTTATGTAAATTCAGATGTTCCATTCATTTTCCCGCTCATGGCTAAAACTGTGTCAAAGAACAGTCTTTTCCAACCAGTATAGCAGGATATTTGGCATATGACTTTTAAAGTCCTGACTAAACTTAATAATAATGGTCCAACAAAACAAACAAACAGGATCAATATCACACAAACGGAATACTTAGAGACTATCCACTTTGGCATTCTTTTGGCATTAAAAGATTAACTTGTTTGCAGAGATATCTAATGGCAATTATTGCCTTAAGAACGTAATAATCAGGAACATTAATCTACATCGGCATTAAACTATAGCCAACAGCAAACCATAGTTATGTTGAAATAATGATCGGTAATATTGAATGGAAAATAACAAAGTTATTTCATTGGCGGTTGCGTAATATTTTATCATAATCAAGAGAGATTTGTTGTTGTTGTTCCTAATGTAAATAATCAACATAATAACAAGAATTGGAAAATGTAAGCTTTGTTTGTTTGAAATATTACAGACATTGTGATTGTTGGTTTGGAATTCAAAACATGCTGTGCGTGCATAATAAATTTTGAAATTAAACATTCTGTATTTTTGTTTAAATATTTTTAAATGTAAACGTTTGTGAATCCAACATAACTCAGCTTCTGCTTACAATAATTAAATCTATAACATCTTTGATTTAATCGGTTTTTAAATTGTAATACAATTTTTTTATGAAAATGTAATCTAAAAATAATAAACTGATAAAATGTAGGTTGTATTGAGTGAACGGTGAACAGAAGGAAAAAATTCATTAAAGATCCTGTAACACAATTTGTTATGGTTTTATATGATAAATATGATGCTAAAATTAAGATTTATCACTTTTGTAAGTTTAAAAAAGCATTATTCATGAATATATAACAGAATTTAACATTTCATGTAAATAAAGGGAAGTAATAAAAAAAATTCTATAAAGTCTTAGTCAAATGTTTCAATAAGTAATGAATGCAATTATTTTAATGATTACATATAATATGTACAAATATTTGTAGTACATATTTTACATATTCTTTGATGTTTGACAATTGTTTTATAAGCATAATTATATACATATATATAATTTCACTTATGCGTGTTATACAAGCTCAATTACGATACAGGATCTTTAAATAACTTACTTTTAACATCCTTAAAAAAAACATTATCGATCTTTATTTATGTAATGTTTTACAGTTAAAAGTTATACTTGTCATTTGTTCCATAATCATTAATTTAATTTATCATACATTATCCATGAAATTTTATTTTTCAAATCCTCCTGAGCATTCTAAAACAGAATATTTAAAGAAATGACAAAGCTTGTTCATAATTCAAATTTCCAAAAGCCAGCGCGTCAAATTTGTGGCGCAATGTATACATTACTGTTTTTATTCTTTTGTTTTTGTTTTTGTTATTAAAGAAAAAAATGTGATGTAGTTAATTCAAATTTCTTTACAACCGGTTTATAAATGGTTGTGAATAAAATGTCGAGACAATTTTTCTTCCATTACGTCATGTGTAGAAATACTTTTAAAAATCAAAGGTCCTTTGCAGCGGGGGATTCCGTTGTATAAAAGCTTTATAAATTTGTATTTTTGTTTTCAAAACAAAGTTTGGATACGTAAAACCGGCTATTAGCAGCATTAATTTAATATGTGCTTTTAGGTACATAAAATATTTGCTGCCTACTGCAGACATATCAATACCACACCAGAAATGGGTTTATCTGTAATGTGCAAGTTCAACCCCTTTTATTGTCGATTAGTCGCCTATAAGCAATGCGCATATATGTTAAAGACAACATTTATTTTCCTTTCAGAGCACTTAATGTGATAACATTTACCTTATTAGTGGAGCAGTTCTGATAAAGTGAACCTTACTTACGGAGCATTTGTCACAACACGAAGCTTTCAAATGGAGCACTTCTGATAATATAAACCTTACGTGTGGAACACTTCTACCTAGGCTTGACGAGCTTGTTTTTCATACATTACATATAATATATGATTTATTATATATCATATATCATGCATACCATATATTATATATCATATATTATATATCATATATATATAACAAGAACCTTCCTTACGGAAGACTTGATATGACACGAAATTTTCTAACGGAACACTTCTTACATTCAAACTTTCTTATGTAGCACTACTGATAATATTAACCTGGCGTTTAGAGTACTTCTCATTATATAAACATTACGTTTAGAACACTATTGCTGATATATTATCAACTATATATCACACAGAAAACATTAAACAACTCATGATTATTTCACATTTTGTTTTATTTTCAAAACATGTTGTAAAGTTCTCTATATAACATGACAAATATGATAATTGATAAAGATGTGAAGAATTAAATATGAAAGTATGTACAAGTGGATATGCTATGAGCTACATATTATATGCATTTAAATTTACCAAATTTGACATGGGAAACATGTTTATAAAATCGTAGCTTTTCCTCTTTTTGTTTTTTCTAAATACAATGATCACAATGAGCAAAGAAATCTTAGCCATTCAATATCATTTATTCCATACCGTAGTATCCAGCTTTACATAAAATCTTACTAATTCTATTTAACACGATCTTTAATTATTCTGTCAAACCATACAATCCCGCAAAATTGACAATTACCTTTTGGTTATAAAAATAAATTGATTAAAAAATTTTCAGGGTCTAAAGAAATTCATAAATTAGTAACACAAATAGAACATAATTATTAACATGGTCATGACATTGATTTAATAGGCATCTTACAATTATTGTAGCCACGTTTGTTTTTTGACATGACCTTAAGTGCATCGGAGTGTGATGACAAAAAATGACGTATTGTATGTTCTGAAATCGAAGAACTGAGCTGGATTTTCGAGTTCAAGAATGACCCGTTTATATGATGAATAATGCATTACCACTTAGTCTATAAAATATACATTTAAATTAAATTATACGAGAACATATATTACAATAAATTTAGAAAACGCAAACGAGATTGAGGTCAAAATATGTAAAATGATAAATAGCTTACGTATGTAAATATGTCAAAGTATATGAATATAAGATTAAAAAAAAACAATCAAACAAACAGATTTCTATTTAAATTACTCAATTTCATTACATGACAGAAAATAAATCGAAACCTTATCTGAATATTTGAGATATCGAATGCTATGCATTGTAAAGTTAATATGCTGAGAGTCAAAATACAAAAGGAAATAAATACATTGATTAAGGATATTCATGAAAGAAAGTATCTTTCCTATACAAAACAATAGCAGATAAAATTGAAAATTACATTAAAATTGACAGGATTGTTATCGAAAAAATCAGAGTTATAGACATATTATCATACAATTTAAGAAAAAAAGTTTTGAAATCATATAAGTTTATATGTATGAAGCAATAGCGTTTTACTATTATATTTTCAAAAGTACATCATTTCGAACAATTATATTAAAAATTATCGAACAGTTGTTAATTGATTAATTCAGAAAAATGTTCAAAAATGCTGATGTAGAACTTATATTTTAATCAATAAACATGATAATTTAGAGAAAATTTATACAAAAGGCACATTCCTCTTGATAAGATAAATTCAGTGAGAGAGTAAGACCAATTCAATCTTTCTCACTGCCAGTTAGTTTCAGGTCGAAACGAAGGCTTCCTTGATAGATTCATTAAAGTTTTAATATACTTCCTTTAACATGTTAAATGAAACTCGTAGATCATATGGAATTCTGGAAAATAGTACGCCCCTCGAGACCAATGAAATACTAACATAAAGTAGGTGAAAATTGCAAATGTTGGTTTGTTTGAATGCGTCTCTTCATGAAAGATAATGAAACGTGCAATATCTGTCAAATTTCGTAGCAAATGTTTGAGCAGTACTCAAAACCTACATGAAAATTCTATTACAAAAATGGACGTGTGACTGTGTTATTATTCAACATTATCTATTTCGTAATGATATAAACTTTCAAATGCCATCAGTTGAATGAATGATACACACGAAGAAGGAACTGTTGCACGAGGGATGGAGTTATTATGATACCATAATGATATCATAAGAACTCCATCCTTCGTGTAACAGTTCCTCCTCCGTGATATAAACCATTATCATACATATGGTTTAAACGTTTTGTACGAATCTAGATTTTACAGACTATAATGAGTTTAATAACTGTAAAGATTTTTTTTACTAAATTTGAAAGATTGTCAATATGCACGAGTCATCTTAAAATGTACACACATGATACATGGATTAAGTCAAACCCCGAAAATGGGGCTGGTGTAATGGAACAAAAAGTGAATCAATCATCTAAAAGTTCTACTTCAAAATGACATATAAGTTCACTCCAAACAAACGATATACATGTACAAAATATCTATATCACAAAACGTCATACCCAATTTAATAGCTATATTATAAATAAAATATGATACAGGTAAGAAAATAATTCTAAAAAGAAAATATACATCCAATTTTGAGAGAATGAAAACAAAAATATTTTAAGGAATAAATGTGCACACTTTTCAAAGAAATGGATGAATGTTTTACCTGTTTACAAAGATTGAATACTTTATGGTTCAAAACAGACATTACAGGAATACGCTTAAAAACTGTGTGATATACAGCAAGCTCCTATATCGACTGGACTAAAGGGATATAACTTATCGTAAGTATTTCATTATATTTTGCACAATTCGGGAAATGATATAATGGACAAACAACTAGCGATTTGCTCCGTCCTTTCGTCCAATAAGGCGAACACTCCTCCATTTGTCTCAGTGATCATATGTAATATGTAACACGTATCTGTTTGTTCGTAATTCTTTTTTCTGAATAAGCCATATAAAAGGCAACTGGCGTAATATTTATTCATTCAACACGTGTGCTAATAAAATTATGGTATTTACATGATTTGATTAAAATGTATCAAAAAAAATAATATATCAGCATATATCAATTACTTAATTGTCAATCACATAGCTTATCTACTCGGTAGTCGTTTGTCCATTTTATAATATGACCAAGGCAAAATTGCCTCTTAAACACGTATCTTTTATTGTCGAACTGCACCAAAGAATACAATCTCTGCAAAGTCATACAAATGTTCCAAACACATAAAACATAATCGACAGTGAATCTAATTATCAAATATTGTATGTTTGTTTTGATTTTTGCCTTAATGTCGTCCGTGAGAAACATCTACTTCAGATCAGCTTATGACATTTCTATAGACAGAGGATAAAATCTCGTAAGGGAATGTAAAAGACCATTTGAACCGCGTCATGACAAAACCAACATAGTGCGTTTGCGACCAGCATGGATCCAGTCCAGCCTGCGCATCCGCGCAGTCTGATCAGGATCCCTGCTGTTCGCTTACCAACTCTATTACAAGTAGAGAAACTGATAGCGAACAGCATGGATCCTGATCAGACTGCGCGGATGCGCCGGCTGGTCTGGATCCATGCTGGTCGCAAACCCATTATTGTTGGTTTTGTCATGACGCGGCTCATTTATTTACACAGTAACTATGCATTCAAGTAAACTGCGCGATGAACACATGACTATTGAAGTTGTTAGTTTAGCAACGATTTATAGAAATTTTATCCAAAATAAATGTAATAAACATAAATGTATACGTGTATTCATATACAAAAAAGCGCTTTTAAATAAAATTTTATAATATGTTAGCAATGAATTTGAAGCGCTAATAACGTGTGATGCTCTGATTTAAATCATAACTGAATCACATCTGGTTTATTAAACCTCGTTTTTATTTTCAAAATCCAGTAAACGCCATGCTAAATCCATATGATCCTCCGTTTAGACTATTTAAAAATATATTTATTTCATTATGGATTTGAAGTATCATCCCTCTGCAATTGATTATTTATTTTTAGCACAATTTATTTATTTTTATAGCCAACTGTTTAAAACCTTCAGGTATTTTTCTCAAATTAGCCCATTATGTACAACTTGTTAAAAAAATGACATTCTTAGCAGAACGTAACTGTGGAGCTTTTTCCTTCAATGCTGAGGACGAGAAATAAAGGATGCTAAGCATGACTTAAACATTTACATGTACATTTAAATAATCAACAAAATAACAGTCAGGTTAAGTTTCCAGATAACTCGAGTTTTCATGTAGTTTTGAAAAAAATATTCCATCGAGACAGAAATATCTTTAGGTGTCAATAAAAATAACGGTATAAATCTATATAAATAAAATAATACATGTTTTCTTATAGGAACATTAGTATGCTAAACATATATTGATAAAAGTAAAGAGAAAATATGAAATGTTAGGTTTTACATCTTTTTGAATAAATGTGCTAAAACATAAGTATTACAGTGTTATCTATAGGAACAAATGATATGCTTAAATGTGCATTTTATCAAACAAACAACCAGAACAATTTCTAAGACAAACAGATTTCTCTGTGAACGCTATACTATAGTTATGGCGTTATTCGATGTCACTTGTTGGCCAGCACGACCTATATGTTTCGTTCTTGGATCTACTTTTGGAGACGGTCGGTCTGGGGTCATACTATGTCCATGAGGTCTATTTATATTATCACTGCCTCGAGACGAGGCTTGGCTTCCACCACTTTCAGATGGCGGCCCAACTGACGGATTAACGTTTGTAAATGAAGTTGTTTGATTTTGAGAATGCATAGGTGATGAGGTCTTTTGAGATAATGCACTGTACGTATATCCTCCAGGACCCTGTGGAGGCACCACGGGCTTTGATATGGCAGTATAAACCGGTGGTGAATTGTCTGTCATTTGTTTATGATTAATTGAAGCTACCTTAGGCTGCTGCTTCATTTCTGAAGTGTTGACAAGATTTCCCGCCTCTGGCGTACCACCTCTGCCACGATAGGCGTTACTATTTCTATTGTCTGGCATGTTGCCCGCGTTATTGTGATTCACATTTTGCGCATTCGCCTCTCGCAATTTTGCAATTCTCTTCCTTTGAAAATAAGTCACTGCAGATATCAATATATTTATAAACAAAATTCCTGCCCCAACAGCAATGACTATACTTAAAGGAACATTATTTGACGAATCGTCACGTTTACTTTCATCAGCCTTACCAACAACTGGACCGGCAGCTGTTGGGGTAGCACGCTGCTTACTTATTTTGTCAGATTTATCAGACGAATCAATAAGGTCATATGTAATGTTATCTAAGTCATCCTTGGGTGTCACATACTCTGGATCACTCTGATGCGGTGAAAATGGTGGGGTTAATGGAGGAGGTGGTGGCGATGGAAATATTGTGAGGAATTTATTTATCAGCCTAGTTGGATCGTCGAATGTTGACATATTCTCTGAATCTTCCAGCTCATGAGACGCATTTGAACTATTAGGTTCTCGGAAATTCCACTTTGGAATAAGATTAAGCCACAGCGCAGTTTCTTTTCCACGGTAGAAATCCTTTACTTTGGAACCTTTCCGACCTATTATAAAATATAACTTTCAATTAATAAATGCAATGCATGCGTATTATAATTTTGTCTTATATTGCCAGAGGGAGTAAACACACGTTGCTTAATATATTTAATTTCATATTACTTTCATCTATTCGTACTCTAATGAATCATACTTAGGTAAGTCATAAAAAAAGAATTAAAAGAAAATTGCAGTTTAAATTGTCATTAAATACGGACAAAAATGAGTTCATTAAAGTGTGTAACAAGCATATCTAAGTTATCTAAATATGTTTAAATCTGTTTAGGAATGTAAACAATTCTGATATAAACAAATAACTAATATATGTTCTGGGTCAGGTTAAATCATTCTGAAACATAAATTATTGGACAAATAATACCGATATAAAAAGCGTGTTTTATATGTCAAATAACAATGTCCGTTAATGAGGCAGAACGGATATTTACCTATATGCAAATATGACTGTGAACTGGCGTTGTATTTTGGCCATCTCTCGCCGGTAAAGAAAACTGAATCCCCTCTGTCCTGTGCCGCATTATCCCATTCAGGTAAATTTGGGTCACTAAAAACAATGAGTAACATTAATTAATTGATTGACTGATTAAAAATACGTTTGAATACTTGAAGGTTCATTATGCCCAAACTCGATATTTATAAGCAGTTATAACTGTAACACGGTCTCTTTGTAAATGTAAAATAAGCATGTTTTGGCTGCACAAAATGTTATGCTTTTTTAAACCCTACACACTAAACGTGAACACAATGTGAATATATCGTGTTACAAAAAGTTATTCTGATTTGAAACATCAATGCAGCTTCCTAAATATAGTATGTACATAGTTTTATTCCAATTAGACATATTCAGTAAGAATATCAAATATTTCAATTATTTTCTGCGATAAAAATATTTTACTCAAAGATGAGCTTCACATTTCTTTAAGTTTATATAATTAAGCGATATTCGAAATATCTGGATTGAACTAAATTTGAAAGATTCTTAAGAAATAAAATCGTGGTGAAGGCATGGCCAAGTGATTAACGCGCCGGACTTTTAAGCAAAGATCCGCAAGCCGCATGGTCCAAATCCTGTCAGGGCAATATGTTGGATCATTGAGCAATTAACTTTATCCTGCTCAGAATGTTTCAAGGCTCGAATTTTTAAAAAAAAGATGTGTTTATAAACTAATAATTTCCTACATAATCTAAAATGAAATCTCTAGAGACTTACAGATAAAGTTAACATGATACAGGCAAAATATTACTTGAATTTCTTCATGCTAAAAATAGCTATTTTAAACGAGTATTTAAAAGCCTTAAACTAGTTTGTGTTCTAGAAATGTTTGATAATCAAAAAATTCCTTTACGAATCAACTTAAAAAATAACGTTCTTATTGGTAAAAATATATGCATAGTCCTAGTAGCTAATGTAATTCCGAATTAAACAATGATTTTGAAATTGAGAAGAATTATCTTTTCAAGGAAAATTATTCATACTTAGATAATATCATCAAAAAATGATGCGAGTACAAAAGAGTCAGCGTCGATAGAAAGGGGTTTTTTTACAAAAATATATAAAACATGAAAAAGTTTTATTTATTTATTTATGTATTTAATAATTAATTAATTACAATGTAATTATTTAATTAATTCATATCATTATTTTTAAGTTTTCTTTTTAATTTTCATGAAAAGTTTGTTATAATTATTTTTTTTAGTTTTCTAGCATTTTGTCTGAGTTTATGAGATTTCGATACACACTAACTTTCAACAGTGCTATATATTTTATTAAGCATTTGATGTTTATTTTTGATATTCATGAATTTGGCTGTTCTCAGTTTTATATCCTATGACGCTCAATACCAATTATACAGTTCATTAGTTATGCTTAATTTTCGAAGAGGTTTCTTAACTAAAATATTAAACATACATTTAATATGTACATTACAAAGGATAAGCTGGCATGGCGTTGAATAAATGTTTTCCATATTGTTTTGCGCTCTTTATTGGTTTATAAGAGACTGTCATGAAATTTCTCTGTAAATAATAGATTCTTCGTGTAACAATACATACCCAGTTTTGGCAAAGTTAGTCCACATTCGCATCATAAATTTACTTAGTTCTTTCTCCTGTGGCGTGTATGCAGTCGGGAAGGGGGAAACCCCTCCAACCAAAGGTGCACCAAATATATACGGCAGTTCGTCACCATGAACGCCTCCTGACCACTGCGCAAAGTCCTCAGACTGAGTTGAATATGCAAAAGAATAAAGATATGTATCGGCCGTCTTAGCATGTTCTAGTGCCATTTTAACAAGCGGAGCTTTGTATTGTCCATCGCTCAAAAGGTCCATGATTTCGTCTCGTCGTGTGTAATTGTCCGATGGCCTGTCAAATTGTGTGTACTGTAGATTTAATATTTCATATATCTTCTGTCTGTTATACTTGTAAACATTTTGAACATAAGTCCTTAGAATCTGTTTCTTTCTGGCTTCAGAAATACCTTTTTCTATTTCTTCCTGTTTCAGATAGGAGTAAGCCTCTTTTCTTGTGAGACCGAACATAATTTTTGTGTTTGCAAATCGTGTTTTTCCGGATTCAATAAGTGATTCTAATGTATGCCCTCGTGGAAAGTCGCCTTCCTCTTCCTGTGTGATGCTTGGGGCAAAGCATGTGTAGTATTTAGGTGTCATCGGGACACTTCTCACAAGTTCATCTACAGATCTTTCCCTCAAGCAGTCTACGAGTGCTTTTGTTTTATTGACGGCGTGTGAGCAGTTGACATTACGTGCTAGAAGATTGGCACATCTGACTGGGTCGATTGATGTTGCCCAAGTACTAAATGCAGAGCCGCTCTGCAGAATCACGTTATTGAATAAATCTGAAGATGAAAAATAATGTAAAACTCTAAAAGTATGTAAGATTTATAGACAATATCAGTTAGTGCGTAGGTAACAAACAGAATTTTTAAATATATGATAACGTGCATTTGTTGAAATGGAATTATGAATTATCTTTCACACTGCAAGTAATATTTAAAATAAACAGATAATATATTTGTTTGTTTGTTTGTAATTTGACTTTAGGGGTGGTTTCTTACATAAAGTCACTGACAAATTTGATCATTATAATTATTATAGACATGCATTTCAAACGTCAATTTCAAATGCATATTCATATAAAAATATCGAGACAAAATGTGTACCTCGGAAGTAACAAAAATCTATTCAAATAACTGAATATGTATATATAATATATACATATATCAAGCCGAATGAACATAATCATATACAATTGATCAAAACTGAACACAACATCAACAACAAATAAACTTACTTTTTTCTTTTGCAGTTTTCGTGAACAACAGAAAGTTAACTAATGCAGCGCCATGACCATGACCAAATAATGTAACTCTCCCAGCGTCCCCTCCAAAACGATCTATATTTTGTTGAACCCAAAACAGGATGGCAACTAAATCCCAGAGTGCGTAATTTCCAACGGCATTTGTGTCTCCTGTTCGTAGAAACCCTGTAAAAATAGAAATAAAACAGAAAATGAAAATATGAAGCTCAATCTTATGAAATATTCTTATGAAATTTATAAGCAGTAAAGATATATTGTTCCCATTATCTTAAAGTCGATTCTTGTAAATCAATTGCATGCACCATTTATGTGTTAGGCAATGGACTGCAATATTTTTGTATCTATTTTATTTTCTTTTTTTTTCAAAATCATAATAAAATCCTTGCAGCAGATATAAATGTTGCTTGAACAGCCAATCAATTGCTACCATATGTAAAAAAGAATGGATTATTAACAAATAAAGATAAGGTTTTTCAAATGTTTTAAATTTGGTTAATGTTTATGAAAAACGTATAAGCACATATTATAGCATTGATCTTTAATAAACCGTTACTTTTTGTAACTACATGTATACACATGATGTCGATATTCAAGAAACAGTATTCATTTTTAATGCAATAACAACATTACTTTAAATTAACTAAAATTAGCGTAAATTTCTATAAATTCACATCTGTTTGACGATTTCTACCCCATAACAGCTCAGAGATGGCATTTTTTCTTCTGATTGGACGATGGATAAATGACGACACAGAAACCATCATGGCTGACAGGTCACAAGTAATTCTAAATTTGTAGAAATTTACGCGAATTTAAGTCGGTAAGAGCTTTCCTTAGTTTGAAAGGTTTGCATTCGCTGTATATCCTAATATTTGTTTGAAATAAGTCCTGCTTGGTGATGTTATCCCGATAATTCTTTAGTTTTAGCCCTGAAATTATGCATGTTTATGATTTACGACTTCGTGTCCGACTCCATAAAGCGGACACTTCTGCGTGAATAAATCGCAAATTTCAGTTTTCCGTATAAGCAAATACTATTCAAAAACGGCGCAACAGTAAGGACATTACGCGCTGGTGAGAATCGTCATCCTTTCGAGTTCTTCCCCTTGTCTAAAAAAGGGGAAGAACTCGAAAGGATGACGATTTGGGGGGGGGGGTAAATTTTTGTTCTTACATATATACACAAGATTTTTTTAAAAAATGGCTTAATAGAAAAAAAAATCATCTAAGTGTGTGCCGTACCCATATGGTTCTTCTAAGTTTGGTTCATACGAAATTTATTTTAGTTCGATTGTGTAGGAAGCTATAAGCTTATACACACACTTTCGAATTCGTTCCTGGAAAAAATAAGTACTGAGCAATTAGTGTAACACGGCTAGCTATCCTTAGACTTAAAGTCCGACGCGTTAACCACCCAGCGATACCGTCACAATATAAGTTTCTGATTATACAATGTCAACCACATGTATCCTTTGAAGGTAAATAAGCAAAGTAAATTTCACATGATTGAGTTTCATTCCGTTTTATATCAACTACAGTTTTAAACAGTTTTATGTAAACTAAAATGTATTGCCAATAATTATGTAATTTGAGAGATATTAAATACCATTAGTGAATAAATTGAATCACATGCATGGAATAGAGCATAACAGATAACTTTGTAACTATGCTATTTGCTTAACTTTATCCTTTAACAGAAAATATAATTGTATTACTGCTATAATGATGATGATGATGATAATGATAATAATAATAATAATAACTAATAATAATAATAATAATAATAATAATAATTAGAAATGAAATAATAAAAAATTATTGATAATCAATATTATAAAAATGATAATAGAATAAAAATGATAAGAAATACGCAATTATTCATGAAACACATACATATCCTCCATTAGTTACACCTTTATAACAACCAATGTTTCAACTTTTATATACAATACATATGACTCAGTACGATATATATCCGCTCTTTCAACATTACTTAAACGATCAAATCTATTATCTTAGCAAATATAGGCCTGGAATTCTAATATTCAACTGTTATAACTCGGGAGTGTTACATTTATATAATTGTGCTTACAGCGCTTTGATATCGGCAGTAATCAATAGCGTCTTTCCTGAGTGTGTAATTTAATATTTCTTCATCCTAAGAGTATATTTTTCCTTTAGGGATTATGTTATTCATAATTGTATAATGACATTTTGCCATCTGAACGAAAAAGCAATAAATGTGATCTTAAATCTTCCACTTTTATCCCAGAAATGGAATATTCTTCTGATAATGTTTAGAAGAATACAATTAAATTGAACATAATAGTGACAAAAATGTGGAGAATAAGATATTATGGTTAAAAATTAATATGAGCCGCGTCATAACAAATCCAACATAGTGGGTTTGCGACCAGCATGGATCCAGATCAGGATCAATGTTGTTCGATATTAGTTTCTCTACTTGTAATAGAGTTGGTAAGCGAACAGCATGGATCCTGATCAGACTGCGCGGCTGCGCAGGCTGGTCTGCATTCATGCTGGTCGCAAACGCACTATGTTGGTTTTGTCGTGACTCGACTCATATTTAAAACTAATACATATAGCAGTCTGCAAACGGTCAGTTCCTTAACAAATAAATTGAAAACATATTTTATAATAAGTATTGTCAGACTTTGTTGTTATTACAGTGACAGTTGAAAAGGTGTGTCTGTGTGAATTTTTGTTGAATGTCACGGTCATTTTGTATTAGATTTGATCTCGAATATGTGTACACATATATAATTAACAGATGCACACATGACTAGGGTACCTGCTAATCAATAAATACAACCTTGATTTGTATATCTGATTAAATCCTTTCATTGATGTACATTATTAACATGATGATGATAAGGATGATGACGGTGTTGATTATTATAATAATTATTATTATCATTATCATTATTATCATTATAACAATTGGCATTTTGAAAATATTGTCATATGAATTTGCATTATTAAGGCTATGATATTCCTTTGCACATTTTAGGCAATAAGACGCGGGAAGATAAAACTATTGTAATGAAGATGACAAAATTAATAGTTGCTACGATGTTTAAACAAAATGTGGAGATGCTACCATATCTTAATACTATGTTACATTAAATACAGAATAACATGTTGACATTTCATCTAGTACAAGGAAAACGGTAAATACACATTGTATAAATTGTCCATACCTAAAACTCCAAGCCTATAGTTAACTGTTATAACTATAACACCACCATAGCTTGCCAGCACGCTTCCATCATACGCATTGCCCGTACCAACTTCGTAAGATTCGCCATGGATGAATATCATCACTGGAAGTTTTTCAGTCTCATTCCATTCTGAAAAGAAAAAAAAAAGAAAAACGTAATCATCATAAAGAATGAAGAATACAATCATCGGCCGTTTTAAGAGCTACAATGACAGACGGCAAAAGACAAATGGCTGTCATAACCTTTATCGTGTTACCCAAATTTGAACTGTTTACGATTTTTTCAGCATAATATGTTCTGAAGATATATAAAATGATATAAAACAAACATATCATACTTGTATTGTCCATCAATATGAATATGAGATGAATTGAAATTATTATTATATCCTTATCTTTTTTTTAATAAACATTTTGATGTGTCACAATTGTATGTTCTATGTACACCAATATGTTAAATTGTAAAATGTAGTAGTTAGTGACTAGCCAACTAGAAACTGTAAACATTATGTGAAATAAATGTGTTCGTTCGTTCGTTCATATTGTATATTTGTTCATATTGAGTAAAGAATACTTAATATAATCAAACGTAAACTGTACATAATTTTCTACATGGAAACACTTTCTAAACGACACGATTTTATTATTCTTTATCGTAAAATATTGAGTACTTCTCAAATTCATATAATAATTATGTGAAATAATCGCCGTAGAACTTGTTCTAATACGTAACTTAATTTCTAAAATAAAACACCACTTAAAAGACATGAATTGATAAATCTATAAGTACTAGTCAAATTTATATAACAACTGCATGCTTTGAAATGATCCATGTCGAACATGTTATGGTACATATATTTATCCTGAACTTTTGTAAAAGCACTGACATGTTCCTCTGCCATCAAACAGCTGACCTGGCAATTATGTTCCTTTTGGTCTTTTATAGACATATTAGTTTGCCCGTATTTGTTTGATAATACTTCAGTTGTGTTAGCCAAACATTCTTTGTCGACATACAGATCAATGCCTTCAAACATATTTTGACATTTCCATTAACTTTATGTCGATTTTATTGTTGATTGTATCGCCAGATAATGAACTACAAAAGGATCAATTTAAGTTAATGCTCTTCATTCCATTCATCTATTTTGGCATATTTCCAAAAATTCTTCTGTAATTTTCCTTTGCCACCTACTGGTAATACGCGTATGCTGAATTGAAATGACAATTACAGAAAGATTTTTCTATGCCTGACAAACATATATGATTTAGTTATTTCTTTTATACGTGATATTAACAAGTAAACCATGTTTTCGCTTATGATCTGAATGTCTTGACCCAATTATTAAGATAGTTTATGTCCGTCACTGTCAAATTAAATAAGCATATTACAGCGTAAAATTTTCATATCACTAAGAACCCTGCAGATTTATAAAGGAAAATGATTTATATTGCTATAACTTTTACCATTATTTGCTAATAATAATATTTGACTTGACATGTTTGACTTGTATGAAAGTTTATGACATAATGACAAGATCATAACTTCTCCCATTCATTTTATAAGAAATGTCCACGCAAGGCTGGCAAAGGTTACAGCTTTACATAATCTTCTAAAGTAATTAAAAGGCAAAAATGAGAACCAAGATCAACTCGGCAAAGTGACGTTCATAGAAAGCAGTCCCGACACAATCAAGCCACACTGGCAGGGCACGAAGAAGGGCACCGGACAAAACTATGGTAGAAAAGAAAGGGAATGGCACGTCGTTATATATCATTGTTAACAATTTGATAAATTTAACATGAGAAACTAAACCCAAAAGGCTGATAAATAGGAAAGATGTGGCACAGCTAGCTCATTTACTAAACATTTCTGCAATACGTAATCTATCTACGTAGAAATGTTTAACCAGTTAATAAGGAAGGTCAATAAAGATTCACAAATTTCATTACATAAATATATAATGCAATATACCTAGTTATTGCATGTATGAGTGAAATATTGAGAAAAATTGATAAATTAAAACGAGTATTTTCATTGTCCGTATTTTCACTGTAAAAAATTATTTTTCACTATAGTGAAACATATTGTCCGTATTTTCACTGGTGTCTTGCCAGACTGCTTTTTCTAAATCAAGCCAAAACACAAATTCTAGGGGATGTTTTTCATATTTGTATTGTAAGAAAAAAGAAAAATGTATTTGATAAACATAAAATTCAAGATTTATTTTTAAAAAATACAGGATTTATTTTCATTTTGTGCTACCGCCACTCATGAAATATTTATTTTCATACCACTTGATGAAAATAAATCTTGTATTTATAGAAAAAAACTTTATTTTCTATTTTCTTTTTTTTCCTCTTCTTTGAAAAGGAATATATTTTTATTTCAGTCAGTTAATAATTCAATTAATTTCAATTTATGTGATTTATTTTATATCATGACATCAAAACGAATGCTAATCACATAATATTATGCTGATCCAAGGAAAATGAAAAATTCTGATTAGACCTCGATATAATCATATGTTTCGTGATTATAAATAAATGCATATCTACCAAAAAGACAACCTAAATGATATGTTATAGGTAACAAGATGTAATGCTAAGTTGTAATATACGCATGTCTGAACAATTAATTATAGTGTAAAGTTGTTATGTAAAGTTTACAGTCTTTTCAATATATTATTTGTGAATATGACTTATTTAGATGTTGCATTCTTATTGTAAGAAATACTCGTATGTAACAATTACTTTCATAGTAATAAAAGTATAAGTTCTAAATACTACTGTACACACACTTCCCTCGTCTAAAACACATACACTACTCTTGTTGTTAATCGCTAACACTTTCTTTAACAACTGAAAAAACTCATTGATATGTTGTTGGCAAACATCTCAGCACTTGTTTTATTTTCTGGAACTACTTCTACGTAATGCCTTCATGCAGTTTTATGACTGACAAGTGTCAAATAAAGAACAATGCACATTTACTATGCTTCTAGTAAAATTATTTGCAAATGCTACACCATTTTGCAATAATGTGGATTATGAGTTAAACATGTCGATTGCTGGTAGATATTCTCTAACGCACCATGTGCTATTTGTTACGCCTAATTGTTAATTAATCTGGTATAAATTATAATATATGTATATTAATAATTATGTGCCATCCGTTTGATATATATGACGTAACGTATAAAAATAAGGCATGCGTTTGACGTAACAAGTGTATAGACTAACTTCTATTCGAATTACTTTGAACTTTCCCTACATATTTATGATTTTAATGTACATGTATATGATAAAATAATTAACGCTGGGTAAGATGAAGCTAGCATATGTATAAACATATTTATATCAGAAATATTTGAAATTATGTTTTGTTTGTATCTTAAACATAGAACTATTAACGCAGTGGTGCATTTACAACAGGTTGGTTACGAATTGCATTAAAAGGCAATCAATCAGACACTGTGTTGGTTGATATACGATACAATGAAATTTTGTGTTTGTGTGGTTGTAATATATATTTACAAGAAAATTATAACATAAATAAAAAAATGTAATAGGAACAATCATAACGTATCATTTTTTCCAATGATATGTTGAGACATTATTTTTATTGGCTTATAATGCTGATCATCAAAATTGTGAATACTACGAGTATATTTGCAAATGTTATATTGTCATAATAACGATATAACCTTTGTTCCAAGGAACTCCACTGGGATCAAAATAGCCTAGAATGAAAATAAATGAAATTCTTTCTTATAATATTATAAATCAACGGGTGAACTTGAAATCAAAAACTAAGCCATAAATAATAATAATAATTATTTATACTTATATATACTTTTATGCAATTTGTTTGGCCGATTTGAGTGAAAAGCGTTGCATCAGTTTCATTTTGGGGTCAATTTGTAAAAGAAACTGGGAAACGGAGAGACGGTATTATCTGAAATTTTTTCACGAGTTTCTGGTTCAGACATCCGCCCAGTTATATAAAAATCTTTAAAAAAATATAGTCTGTCCTTTTCAGCGAAATAAAACTCAGTAGAGATCCTTTAGAAATAGATTTGCAAATTAGTATAACAACATGACATATGCAATTGTTTCAATATTACTTTATGAATATTTGATATGTACGGTATTCACCTCTAGTGGTATAATTAAACTCGGCACCTTATAAGATTGTGATAAGATAAGAAAAACTGTATGTTATTTTAGTATCTCTCACAACGTTGGTTATTAAACAACTGTTGTATATAAGACAATCGTGCTGTTATGCGTAGTTATTTGTTATTGTCGGCATTTACATCTCAGAAAATGAATACAATAGAAATGGTATAGTTACTTTAAAAAAGTGTTCTTTTCTTTTGCCAGACATTGTCATATGATTTACATTATTATTACAGTAGTGCATTGTTCGTTTGTCAAGAATGCGTTATTACACACTATATCTGTTCTAAAAGTATATACAATGTAGTATATGATTATCTTAAAAAATAGGTACATTTGCAAACAGATTCCACCAATTTTATTTCGGATGAAGACAGATAAATGAAGAATAAATAGAACATGATGATGGGTAATATGAAATATCGCTGCCAGTGTTTTTTTCTCACTCAATTGGGGAGGCACATTAGCTTTTTTAATTTTTGAGGAAATAATCGCTAAAATTGCTTTTCGTGGAAAGTAAACAAGCTGTGGGTAAGTACAGATGCTTTGGAAAACTGTATGCTTTTTTTGTAGAAAATTCCAATTTCGAAGAGGTCCATTTTTCATGTACATACACAAGTTGAAAATCACTGCTTGTGTATATGTCTTTAAAAATACAATGCGGAAAACAACCACAATGCTTACTCTATTATTACTTTTTCATAGCTATAATCTTAACAAAATGTTAAAAATGTATGCTTCAGTGAAATTTTCATGAGAACAACTACCGAATAACCCCATGAGTCATTTAAAATACAACACACATATTATATAATATTACTGGTGACAAAGCGCTTTTTTGCCGTGTTCTCATTAAGTGGAATATATTTGAAATTTCCCACGCCGTAACGGGAAACATTTATAAGAACTGTTACTTATGTCACATAGAACTCTTCTCATACAATTTAA